GTTGGCGTTAAGTGGTGGCAGTGGTACGCTTCCCGCGCCCGCCTTTATATCTCTAAGCGTTGTGAGCGGGTTCACGGCTTACATTCGGAATTAGGGGATAGCAGTAGATAGTATGTTATCTTCTTCGAGCCTGCCATCTATTTTGCTGTTGTGCTTTTTGCTGCCCGACAAATTATTTGGTAAAAGATAAAGAATGACACGGTTGCTCACTTGAATGTAAAAATCTAAATTTAGAATCATGTAACACACGCTGTGTGGTTCAGGCTCCTTTCTCTTCCAAATGCTTAAAGAATAGTTTTACTAACAGGTTATGGTGACATAGGTTCCTTTAACCCCTAAGTGTAAATCGGAACATATACTAGACAATGAAATTATGTAAGGTGTATAAAAGAAATATTTATGTTCTCTAAGTAGAGAGGGCATGAGTTTTCCATAATTGCGGTTTATAAAGTTGTGCAGGCTTACGTCATGGTGTTCATTGATCCGGGGTGTCATGAATCGTGCCTCTTGTTCTTTCAGGCACTTCTGTTTTGTCTGTGGGATGTTGATTAAGGACTATACCAAATGTTAACCAAAGTGTTCTTAGCCATGGAACATATGGGATATTTCAGAGAACACTTTAAAAACTTAATAATAATAAAAAAACAGTAATGTAAGAATTAAGATGCAAGATTGTTAAATCTATTTAGCAAAACATATTCCACATTCTGTAGTCTAGAGTTGAAAGTATCTTTTGGAGGATGGAGAATGGCTAGTAATGTAGCCATTTTTTTTTTTAAAGACTCAGTTGTGTCAATTGATATCCCAGGACAGTCTTAAGGTAAAGGCTGTATATAAGTGTTCACATATGTGGCCTCGGATACAAATGTAGGTCACCTGTGTCTAATGAGCCAGCCTTGCAGCTGCCAGGAGTGTTTTAAGGGTACCCTCTGGAGATTTCCGTGTGCTTCATGATGAAGCTTAGTTTGGAAAACTCTGGTGTAAAATGAACAGCTGCATTCCAGTGGAGTATAACACTCCTTTTTCCTTTGAGATGTCAGAACTTATTAGTAGAATTCATTCTACATATCTTCTCTAAACTGGAGTTTTCTAACTTCTTAGGTCCAGTATTTAATATTCCATATGCTTTTTAGGTATTATGGATGGTTAATGTATAGCATCTATACATTTATATAGACTTTATTTGTATTTAATAAAACAGCTTTTCTTCCTTCCTTCCTTCCTTCCTTTCTTTCTTTCTTTCTTTCTTTCTTTCTTTCTTTCTTTCTTTCTTTTTTGTTTTTGTTTTTTTGTTTTTTTGTTTTTTTTGTTTCTTGAGACAGGATTTCTTGGTATAGCCCTGGCTGTCCTGGAACTTGCTCTGTAGAGCAGGCTGGCCTCGAACTCATAGAGATCTGTCTGTCTCTGCCTCACAAGTGCTGGCTTTAACAGCATGGGCCACCACCACCTAGCTTAATAAAAACTTTTTTTTTTTAAGATTTATTTATTTATTATGTATACAGCGTTCTGCCTGCATGTATCCCTGTAGGCCGGAAGAGGGCAACAGATCTCATTACAGATGGTTGTGAGCCACCATATGGTTGCTAGGAATTGAACTCAAGACCTCTGGAAGAGCAGTCAGTGCTCCTAACTGCTGAGCCATCTCTC